GGCACCGTCTGTGGACGCCTTTAAGCGAAGGCTGGACAACCATGCGGCGACGCAAGGACTGCATCCAAATGGCCTATCCCCTTAAAATCCCATACACTATTCGTGGGTAGACAACTAAGTTCGTCGTTTTACTTCTTTGCATTCTCTCCCGTTCTGCTCTCCTGAGAACTCTAACTACACTTATTATTATTACCGATATATACACATATATCAACTTCACATTTAATCGGCTGTTTGTTTTCACGTTTTCTTTACTTCTTTTTCTGTCCGTTAGTCTGAATAACGTCACTAATTGAATCCATTATTATCTCTTTTCTTTTGACGACGATACCGGAGGACTAACTGGCGAAAGGATCAACTCAATTCACAGTAGTAACAGTCATAACACACCTCATACTACAAACCAAATATAATTAATCCCTGCACTACTCCTTTTGCAGTCAACCGAAGCTACGACAGTCGACTGGCGGGACGAGCTATACTGAAGTTTACCGAAGATCAGGAACCTATACCTCGCAATCAAGAGACGAGCACAAAGAAACCAAATTGTTTTGTACTAGCTCGTAAAAACGACATTCGATATTGTGTATTGGAGTGGCGTGGATGCTTGACAGTTACCTTCCAGAGAAACAAATCGACTAGAATAGGGGGCATCATCACCCAATGTTCAGTGATGAATGCTGCGGCTTGTAATTCTGGAGAATTGCCTAACGCCACAAGGGAAATGGAAATCGATCCACTGTTCAATATGTGCACAACGGAAATGCTATAAGATACGTCGGTCATTCAAAGACAAGTCTGTAGTATGTTTCACCGAAAACAAATTATATCAAGGATGACCTACTTAATAAAATCTAACTGGTTGTTGGGGTCTCACTTATGTGAATGGTGACCAGAGGAGTCCAGAATTTCATTCTACTTGGAATAAGCTTTAGTGAATTTACAAGAAGAATGAAGTAAGCACGCGGTTCTAATGATACCAGAGCAATTTTTGATCTTTAATAGTACATACCGCAACTCATAATCGGGATTGACTAAAAGACATAATGAATGGCTTCGCTTATTTGGTCACTTGTGATTTTCAAATGAAAGATTATACGAAATTGAAGAAGCAATCCGCCACCAATATAGATGGCCATATGGCTATATGGCCTTCGAATCACTGATGTAAACAAAGTACATTTCGCCAACAGCTTTGTGAGTCATTATTATGAAATGATCTCCAAGTAATGTCATAGATTGCCTACAAATTTTAACACTTCCACAGAAAGGAATGATCATCCCATATGTGACCAAACTTAGGGATAGTCCATGGCCATGAGTTCATGCCTAAAACTGGGTATCAGTATGTTGTTCGAGTGATGAAAGTGTGACCTGTAGGTCATAGACATAAGCGTCAGTCATACATAAACACTGGGTAATGCGAGCTTAGCCTGAATGAAGTTACTGAAGTGGACTGCCAATCCAGGTAAACACTAAAGTTAGAGAATCCCTTAACACTATTCAGATGAGAATACAAGTCGATCAGAAGGCCTAATGCAGTACAGGGCAAAGGTGATAAATTCGGTGATATCTTCATCTTAGAAACAAGCCTGGCTGTTGAATTACCAGTGCATGGAAAGCATGTTCAATGTCTTTTCTAATTATAGAGTTAAACATACATACTCGGCGATTCTATAACCCTCATCCCCTGAAGAATTAGTTGTTATTTCAATTTATAGGTATATGCACCCCTGAAAATTGAAAGTTCTTACATTCATCTAAGTGGTCAAATCTTTGCATGAAGGCGCCACGTATGCGTAGATTGAGGTGAGTGTTGTGTTTGACATTTTAAATCTCTAAACGTGAGCATACATTTTAAGATGATATTGATTTGTTTCCTAAATAACCCGAATTTCGATTTTGAGCAGCAAACTAATTTCTGAGCTAAGTGCAGCTTACTCAACTAGATGAAGAAAATCCTTTATTAATTGGATACAGTTAGGATCGACTTGAAAATTTCTGAACAACAGTATATAGTTGTGTGCTACAAGATACCCAGTTGGAGAATGTATTTAGTTGGAGTGAATAGATGGGCAGTTTTGGTCGGGTTGATATGTGGCCAAAAGTTGGTCAAAGTGCAACGTAAGATAGCCACTTCCACCGAGTTCCCAACATGTTTTCAACGGAAAAACTACCCAGCATCACCTACTTTGACCAAGTTGATAAAGATGTTCTCCAATCTGGTTTTGTATTTGACAGTGATATATATCCTGTATACTAGCGAAGTACCTGGGTTCATCAATTCCCCTATGGTTCTGTAAATATGTGACAAAATTTGGAGCAAGCCTGATGTTCACAACGACCGCTTCTGTCGCAAACAAATCTCAACAATCAGTCAGATAGGTCCAAAGAGTTCGTGTTAATCCTATTAGACAGTTTTGATGCATTTATCTATGTTATACAACCAATCACATTCGTTTTATTTCTGACAGTTTGGTAACTATAATATACCATGTGTTGTTAACAACCACATGCCTACGTCGCAAACAAATCACAACAATCAGTTAGATTGGTCGAAAGAATTCATACTCCCATTAATGTATCGAAGTCTGAATAGTGCACGCAAATGTCACTGAATGTGACATACAGAATTACACTGCTTTCATATCAGGTGCACATGGAATTACGCATCACCGTAAATCGTAGCCTACAGCCTGTGGCACACAGTGACAGCTCGTAGCCTTAGATCCCTGAACCTTTAGTAGAATCACCGATGAAGTGTGTACCACTCCGTATATAAATCTGGTGCGGTAAAGACTAGAAAAATGCTTCCAGGGAACCAACCTTCGCCAAAAATAGAACTCATTATAGAAAGAGTTGAAAGGGCAGTAACGCGTATGACTACAGCAATGAGGAATGAAGTTGTGTATCTGTGATCTCGTCATACTTTAAGCAGACAGACCATCTACTCAGGATGTTCAAAATTATCAGAAATTAATGTGGAGTTGGTCTGTCTTCACTTCAGACAGCAGGATCAATATCAGAGTGAAGCACTGATTCTCTTACGGAGTCGTTAACTCGTGGATGCGACTCTCGGAAGCACTAATGTTTGTAGCCTCAATCGACCTGTTCAAGAGGAGAATGAATAAGCTGAGACACTTATCAGGAGAGGATTAAAATAGGCCTAAATACTTGTACCTCGAAGTAAAACTTGAAATATGTGGGACACTGTCCGTTAAATGTAGGTATGAATTTCATGTGTCCAAGCCTGCTTAGGCCTGTCTGAGACGTTTCGAATAGAACGTTTCACCAAGCAACGGAAATGAAATATCCTCATTAGCTCTAGTCGTTAGGATTATTCAGTAGCTAAATATATGCAGTCCTGCTCTCCTTATTTACGCGTTCCTAAGGAGTTGCTGTTTTGATTTCTGCAATTTTGTTCACCTCTCTTTGCACCACCCAGATAAGAAGAGTTTCGGATGCACTGGGAAATTTTGGGGTGATCTTAAAACAAACATTTGACACCTGTTTGCAGCCTTGGGTAGTACTAAGAGTTGTTTCTTTCGAGGATGTTAAAAATTCTGGGGCTTGCCTGTGTTTGGAAGGTAAGGACGTCACTAAAAAACCATATCCTCGCACACAAGGCTAAAGAAGAAAATGAGTGAAGAGAATCAATGGAGTTTTGACAAGTATAAGAGTGAAACAGAATGAGTAATGGTAGAAAGGAATATGAAATATTACAGAGACTGAATACATCTGCGCCACTGACAACGATTTTGAGCCATGTCACCTATTGTCTCCAGTCATTGATTCTTAGAGTCCCGAGGGCCCCGGTCGTGCATCCCTCTTTTAGAGGGTGTGAAAGTCGCGATATCTTCTGGGAATGTAAGCTTGGTGTTGTGGACTTGTCTTGCAGTACTATCCGTACAATTTCTGGAACTGTGGAAAGTAGTTCGAAGGATCCTGATATGTCGTCACGGTTAGCATCTTTGGGGTTTCGTGAATGCTCTAATGGAACCCGAGAGATCTTGTGACGTTATATATTACTCGGTTTTGGAACTGATGGAAGTCATGTTGCAACACTCTAATTTTTTACAGTCGGAATTAGTATAAAACAGCGAGCATGTCCTTAATAGTATGAAAGAATACTTATGTGTTTATTCTCTTCCTCTGCATTCATTTTGACTTTTCTGTATATATTGTTGTTATATACTTTCCTGGTGCCTAGGCTGTATTAAATGTTTTAAAGTTGTAAGTACTGATGCTAGTATTTAGTTGGTCTGTCTACCAGCTCTACTGGACATTTATTTTTAGATATACTCTTTTGGTTTTGGACTGTATTTTTACTCACTTATTTTGCATAGCGGTGACTAGGTTGTTGTTGTTGCTGTTTTTAAAATGTACACGTGCTGTTGCGAATATAATGGGTGTCACTTCCGACTTTACTTAGATTTTAGGCCACTGTGAATAAGGAAGCTTTTGTTGAAGGATATCTTATATTTAAGATGATCTTTAAAGCGTTATGATATCATTGCACTCTCAGTAATTTCTGATTAGCAGCTATTGACGAAATTCTGATAGATATTTGCTATCCTGAGGATGTAATTTACTTCTCACAGGGGTTAAACTTGTAGATTAATATTTGGCTTTGTTGCTTAATGAAGTTTTTCTTTTTTGAGTATCCTATTTCTCAAGGCATAGTAAAGCGATATCTTATCGGGCGTATGAAAAGTGTGACTGAAATCAGGTACTTCAACTTGTCACACTACTTTCATAACCTATGGATCTGTAATGGTTCTAACTTATTTGACTTAACCCTGATATTCTAAATCTGTTTTAGGGAAAAAACGCGCTACCTAAGTGTATGGGAACGTAACAAAGTGTTGAAATTGTATGAAGCCGGAAAAAATGTTGAATTCATCGCTAATCGTATAGGCCGAGGTGCTGCTACTGTTTGGCGAGTAATTTCTGGCATATGGAGACCGAAAAGATCTGAAGAGAAGCGCATGCTGTTGGAGGTGGAAGCCAATAGAAACAAATTCCTGAAAAAGTTGCGGTCAGCAAGATCAAATTCAGCTTCTCACGGGAGTGATGAGGACGGAAATTCAGTGGCAAATAGTATTTCATTTTTAAGCTTAATTTGGCTTTTGTTGTATCATTTTATAAATCAAACGTCTAGAAGTTGAGTTGATATTCCTTGAAACACGTCCATTGAGTTTCCACAGAAATATTTAGACCAGTCTGACTTGGAACAGATCGTTTTTTTTCCAGTTAATCTAGTACTTCCCGTTGATTTATTCCATAAAACCGAAATGTCCGGCCTCTGTTATTATGTCGACTCATACCACAGATGTTTCGACGATGTCTGTGGGTTAAGAAATCGGGAACTCATCAGCTTCATGTGCCTTAGATCCTCAGTAAGTGATGGTATTCCCACTAAGACTCAGGCCTGACACCCATCTTTTCGAACGCCAAAGCCACTAGGCCACGATGAGTGCTGGTTTCGAGTCCCGATGGGAACACCATCACTTACTGGCGTCGTGGGCACATCCAGATGACACGTTCCAGATAGGATGGAATGCGCATTTTGAATTTCACCGCTAGTCACCATATATCAAATAACATCAATTTATGTCTTCAGCTAGTTGTAATATTATTAATCGAACCCAAGTAAGGAATTTATTTATCTATGGAAACAGGTATCTGTATACTGAAATCACTCAAAGATAATTTGACTAATCTTGCAAAATATTTAGCTATCCTGACACAATCCCAATATCCTTTGTTTGTCACAAACTTTCTGTTATGCAAGTCACTCATTTTTATTGCTCAAAGCTCTTATGAGTCCATAATGGTATACAGCAGTGGATTAGTTGTTTTTTTCTCACTTATTTTAAGTTGGTTTAGGAGTTTGCGAACTAGTGAAATTGTAATCACTATATTCAAGTGCAAGTCAATACCTCATCCCCTAACCGTTTTCAAACCCAATACTATATCGCCTTACATGGCTCTATGGGGAAGGTGATAGCTTGACATGCGTAACACGTGTCTTAGGTATCCCGATCGATGCAGCTACCAAGCTCATCGCTTGACTTCCATGGCTTGCCTAACGTTACACTTAACCCCATTATTACTGAGTATACTTTACCACCTAAGACTAGAGACTGAAGACTGGAATATTCGCAGGCCATGTCACACAGCCATAAAGAAAGATGCGACAAACTGATTGACAGTCCAAATCAGCAGTTCTCACAATTTTGTCTTCCAGCCTTACTACATTGAAATTCTGCTCTGGTCAACTAAGTTCTAACTAACTATTATTAGGTGATCATAATAGCATCGAATGTACGACTGAACGCATGCCATTTACTGTTTCGTGTTAAAACGTTCCCCTTGTTAGCTAGTAACTTATAAAGTTAATAACCGCAGTGTCTTACGTAAACGCCCCGATTGCAATAATCCCCGTATGATTTCTTCTACTAAGAAACCTGTATTTTACAAAACTAATTACTGTAATCGTTTCAGTTGTCATGATTGTTCTATGATAATGAAAATTGGATGAAATAGTGCATTGGGAATGTGACAGACAACTCCATTTTATTAACTGTTTTATGATTAAGTTACAACTCATTGCTAACAATCACATCAAAGTACTCACATGACTTTCAGATTTCCAGTAGGCTTGCCTTCATGCTTTTCTATTCTGAGGGTATTACTTCAGCAGCTTTATGGTAATGCTGCGTGCCAAGTAATTCACAAGGGAAAGGTCACCGAAGTCTTTGAAATGAAAACAGGAGTAAGAAATAAGGCTGTCTACTATCACCGATTGTCTTAACGATTGTGGGGGATCGGACCATCCGAAAAACCTCAAGCAGTGAGAGGAAGTGCACACGTTGGACAGAGCGATTAACCATAGGAGATCTGGATTTCACAGACAAATGATGCCTCATGTTTCTTAAAGCGGAAATTTCGCAAGCTACACGAAGGTGCGACCTCAGGTGCTTGTGAAGAACATAGAGGTGATAGAGATATCCGACTAATAACAACAAACACTAACCGTCATCATTGGGAGAAATTTGTTGGGGATCGTCTCTTTCACTTTTTCTGGCTAGGTAGCATCGTTTCAACTACACATATGCCTCACGGACGACAGTGTCGAAGCCAACAAGGATTGGATGAGGAATTCTGTATTAATATATTTATTGAATGTATCACATAGTGAAATGTTATTATTGTCGGAGTGATGTCCAAGCGATAATTTATCGTTCACAATCATATCAGCTGTGAATACACGACCTCGAAAATTGATTCTCATATTTCTCTTCCTTCCTTCATATTTGTCGTAGAGGCAGAAGAATTTTCCAGATATCCGGGACAGGTGTTGAGTCATTTCTTTTGTGTGTACTTTCAGTGGATTCGATACATAAATCTTCAGCTATCAATATTTGCCTCCACTCTGTTATACTGGATGTTGAGAGCGCTATGTTGTCTCCATCTTATTTTATGGTTGTGTGCAACTACATGTGGTGCTAAGGCTGAGCCATTTTTCTAGATTTCTTATCTTATCAAGGTCAATTAATTTTGATTTTGTCAGGCCTTTGTGCTCCACTAGTCTTATCGGTCCCGTTCTACAACTTTGGAGTATATATTTGACCTCACAACTATTTCGGGATATGAGACACACTAGATTATTTTGTTCAATGGACTTCACAGAATCTATCAACGGAAATAATTAGTTTCTAAGTAATTTTTTGGGTTTGAATGCCACTTTTATTCTCGCTTTGTTAATAATTCTACGAAAGGTTCCTTCTTGGTATGGAAGGACTACTGATGTTTTATATTCCCTATAGTTGGTGTTGTCACCTTTCTGGGTATATCTGTCGTGCATGTCGTCCTTCTTCTTCTTCTTACTATTGTCACTCATTTTATTCCTACAATTTCGTACATAAGAGGCTGAACATTTTAATTAAATCAGGAATATGGTATATTACCAAAAGTTCTCATCATGCAGAACCTAATCAAACATGTATAAGTCGTTTAAGTAAATCACCTGTAGTAAGCAAATAAATAATGATCCCTCTTCACTTGATGCGGGTTCGCTTAATAAGTCCTTCACATTGTGTCCAGCAGACGTCGTGATCTCAAATGTTACAAGTGTAAATAATGACTGCTTCTCCGGTTTTAATACAGACGACATCCTGAAGTGTCTGAAATCCTTGAAACCTATCCAGTCTCTCGATCCAGATGGTGTATCAGCTACTATCCTCAGAAAATGTGCTGACATTTTATGATATTCTCTCACTGGTATTTTCAATAAATCCTTTTCCGCTAATATTGTGCTGGCTTCTTGGAAGGACATTAAAATTGTTCCTGTGCCTAAATCATCAAGTGGACCAAGCGTTAAGTTTAGACCTATTGTCATTACTTCACCTTTTCTTTAAATAATAGGAAAACTGCTTTTCCATAACCTCTAACCTTCATTGAAGGATTTTATCATTATTATTATTATTACCAACGACTCTGTTGAATTTGCATAGGAACACAGTAGGTGCACTCTAGGTGCCACTGTCGACCTATCTCATATTGTCTCTAATTTAGAGAGAGATGCCAAATATGTTCGGTGTGCTTTCCTAAATTACACATCAGCTTTTGACTATGTACCCAGGCCTACTTTGTTAAACAAGCTTGCTGCGACACAAGCAGGGTACCTGACCAATAAATGGTTTCATTCATATTCTGTGATATATAATCGTTAAATTTATGGTCCAAATTTCTAAAACCATGTTCGAAGAAACACAATTGTTTTAAATAGTGGCTCAACCTCGGTTATAATTGCATTACCGCCCTGTAATACAGTATCAGCTACTAGCTCACAAAATGGCTCGAGTGGAGTTCTCACTCCTGTGATACAGGTGAAAGATGTTCCATTAGAGAACTCTGAGTTCTGTAAATTAAACCGCCTTGTGGAAGATATCTAGAGGCAAGTAAGTGAACTTCACGAAAAATTAGGTCAGTTTGATAGCTTGACACTGCTAATCTCAAATATCACGGAAAACCGTTCTGATAATGGCCAGGTTAAATCTCTACTGGATTTAGACCCAATAGCCTGCCTGTTAGAAAACATCCTAAAATGACTCCGGACAACCTAAGTAAAGCTGAAAATCTCATTGACCGCTTGGCTTCGGAGGTGATGAGCCGTATAGCCTCTTCTCATCAGACTATAGTTCACAACATCCCAGACTCAATACCTCTGAAGACTATAAAACACAAAATCCCGGATTGTTGCGGCATGGCTAGTGTGCCATGTGAATGCAAAAGACTTCGTAAAAAGTCGACACAGGCTAATTGTCCCATCATTTTTAAGTTCAGTAATTCTCTTGATGCTAGTAAGTTTACTAAATTTCAGGATCGCTTAAGACTGAATAGCACTTATAAGTCTTTAACCGTGTCAGCGCACAATAATGTGTGGTAATAATCTGGTCACCTCCTCTGGCTTAAATTTACCAGAAGTGGATCGTCTGTAGCAACATTCACCTAGTACTGACAGTTACATTCAGCGAACCACACAGCAACCACGCCTGCCAGTGGAACTAGGAACTGATTTACATATCAGTATCCCTGTAAATAAAGCCTCACTGAAAGATGTATGGACACACAGTCTGACCCCCTTATCATTCATAAACTCCTCTCCTGCTGATGCACAAATAGAATTTGGTTATGGTGATATTTTAAGCCAGTTTGTGGTATCCCGTGACTTATTTACTATATTACTAATTAATGCACGTTCCTTGATCAACAAGATATCTGAAGTAAGGACATTATTATTAATCAGCAGTACGCACCCACTGGGATTCGAACCCAGGACCTTCTGGTTACAAGCCTAGTTTGTATACCATTTAGCCACTGGGACCCGATCCAGTGGCCCATGAATTCTAACTTCTGTCAATTCACGACATAGCGCGACGCCTAGCCAATGTCTTCGGCGAGTATTTGTCCTCACACCCGACCTGCTCTACCCTACTGGTCACGACTTCTCACTACAACCTCAGGTAACTGCCTACCTGAATAGGGCAAGTTGCTAGTGAGCATCTCATTGATATTCAAGTGTTGGTTTGTAG